ACCGTTATAAAATTAGGACTATATTGCGATTTTTAACTTTTCGATATTTTCTTCCCCAACTTTGACTATCTCTGGTGAAAAAAAAATGTACTGAGCTATAACTTTACATTACATAAAAAAAATGCTCAAATAAATATTTCAGAAATGTGCCCATCTTACTATTTTGAATAGAAAAAAAGTTATAGCGCTTTTGTGGGTAAAGGACTGAGACACGCTAGAATGTATTTAATAGATTTAAATTTAAGTTGCTCTTATTACTTACCAATGACATGCTAAATAGTACAAAGGTACATTATTGGGAAAAAATTTCCAAAACTCAACGCAATATTTAGCAACTTCATTTAGGCGACGATGAAATTTCTCAAGTAAAAGTAAACAAAGCCGAATGTGAGGATAAAATAAACTGTAAAATAATTAATAATGAATTTTCTCAGTAAACAATTTTTCGACAGGAAACGTGGTTTTATTGTGTTGAATTGCAAAAGATATGATTTATAGAAAGAATTAATAGCGAAAATGTTAAAAACGGCAATTTTTGTGAAAGTATTAGTAAATTTAAGTACATCAAAAGTTTCTGAGGCGTTGTTTACTTTTACTTGAGAATTGTCAAAATTGGTAAATCCCAATTAGCTGTTTCTGGAACGTGCCACATTCGTTCGCTACTTCGTGATGTGATAAAAAGAAAAGCTGGCAGCACTCCGCAAGGTTGCGTAATTCTCTTAAAATATGTTCGAAAAATATATGGAAGGAGCTGCTTTACACTGTCAAGGAAAAAATTTTTAGCAACTTCTATTTTCACTTTATTATGCTAAACTTAAATTTGTTTTGGAGTCTAATTAAAGAGTTTGCAATTTAAGTGAAACATTGCAGAATTTATTTTAATTTTTGTACAAAGTTTGATCCAAACCCAGAGATCTACCACATTTTTTTTGAAATCTACCACACAGATTTTTTTTAAAGTCCGATCACTGACTTCAACTTGTTTTTCTTTTATATACTATATTTCGTTACGCTTTTAATGCCATGTCGTTCTTTTTTTGAATTTCCGTTAATGACAAATTTTAAATAACATTTGAATTTTTGTAATGTTGTGTGGTTTATTCTTAGTGTGTGTGTTAAAAATGCAACACCTGAAGCATTGTTTTTTATGTGGTGTTAAATATAATGCAGACACTACTCATTTTTTTAACGTGCCTCAATGTCCCTGGCGTAAGGAGCGTTGGGAAAGTAGCTGTGGGGTAGAGCTGCAGCGAAATGCCTTGCTGTGCGTTAAACATTTTAAGACCAGATTTCATAAATTCATCGGGAGGTCATTATGCCGGAAAGTTCCTCAAACAACACTGCAACTTATAAATCAAAAACAGAAAACAATATAGAAATTAATAAATTTTAACTAAAGAAAATAAACAAATAAAAACAAAACTTCAAATTTACTTAAAAACGACAACCAGCGAAATGTAATTTTTTATTTTTCCTTACACACGCTCATTTTTATTTTTACTCTCCCGAAAACTTTGACTTTTGTAGGTTTGATGACAATTTGGCTTCTACCTGTTTTTATTGTACCATGCACTAGATAACAAAATTTCAAAAAAGTTCTGAGCTCTGGCATTTCATTATCATTACATATTTAAAAATTTCCTCTGAATCCAAGTATGAAGTCAGATGTTCCTTTTTACGTTAACTTACATATTGCGAATGAATAGAAGAAAGAATGAATTTGAATCATTTGCGAACGAATTTTTGTTTTTTGTGTTGAATATCTCGTAGTTATATGCAAAGCATATTCAACAAGGTAGAAGTGACAATTCAGTCGAGCTCTCTCATAGGTGACTGTAATGTCAGAAAATGTAAACAAAGAAATTAACCCTTTGATATATATTTACCACATTTGATAAAACTCAATATTTTTGAAATGAAAGTTTTTGTGAATATAAAAATATATAAAATCTTATTAGAATCAGCCTTATTTTAGTTATTGCATTTTCACAAAATTACACACAAAATGAAACACACTTATTTATAAAATGAAGCACACACATATTTATAAAACCGTTTTGATAATTTTCTTGCATTTTACTATCCCAATCTGTTTGAGCATTTATTCTTTTATTCAAATACTTAATTCTTAAGTTTATTAAACATTAAAAAAAAGTTCGATTCTTCTAAATTTAAATCAGAAATTAACTTCAATAATTTAGCTATTAAATTTTTGCAATTCGAAATTTTCTTTCCATTAAATTTATTAAAGATTATTTTCAGTTTCTTTATGTTGACAAGGAATTTTGGTTTAGGTTTTATAAGACCACCATTTGAAATTTGGTCTATCCATGTATATGAGTGGGGGATCACGCGCACACGTTCGTTAAAGGTGCGGTGGGCGAAGGATGAGTGGGCGTGGCACCTCCAACCGACCTTTTTGGAGAGGGCATGAACCGCCATTGACAAAAATGTAACCCCCGACCACCTAGGGCCCCTGTGGTTCCCTACGGACCCCTTAGAAAATGGCCAAAAATCGCAATTTTTGCTTGCGTCCACAGTATTTTTGCGTATAATTCCTTTCTGCGTAGGCGGCCTTCGGCCGTGCTTAGTGATTATAACCCTTACTACGTAGAATTCTCCTTTCTGTGTGACCTAACTGGGGCTACCGCCCCAGTGATGTAACCTTGGGAAAGGATGAGGTAACTAGAATTCCCTTTCTGTGTGGTAAACCTGGGCCTGCCGCCCCAGTGATGTCTATTTTGGTTACTGGGTGTTTTATAAAAATGTCTTGTATATAAAAATGTGTATATAAAAATGTATTGTGCAAATGAATATTTAACATTTTTCAAGCGAATAAACGCAAATGAAAATTGTGATTTTTAGCAATTTTTTTAAGGGGTCCTTAGGGAACCATAGGTGGTCGGGGGTTGAAAAAAGTGGCTTAGAGGTGCCACGCCCACTTACCTTTCGCCCACCGCCCCTTTAACGAACGGCCATAAAGGAAAGCCAACCCCTGACTTCTATTGCACACAACGCACCGTTCAAAANAATCACGTAGTACAACACCACAGCTTTCTTCCAATCGCTGCCGTTTAAATTCGCAACTAGGTGGTTTAAAACATCGAACTATTTTCGTGTCCTGACTTGTATTGCATACAGCGCACCGTTCAAAAGTTTTGCTCCGTTTCATCTTGGTTTCCTTACATAAAATATTTAAGCAAAGTCGAACGTATTTACTTATTACCAAATTTTAAATGTGCCTACTTGCTCTCCTCGACGGTTTATCTCTTAACAATTTCACGTTTATTAAGAAATGTTTGAGTACATTTTTTTAAACATATTCAAATTTGAAAAAAAAAAATTTCATATGGGTTAACAATTCATTTCAATTTGACATTATAGNCAGGGTAGTTATAGTGAATGTTTTATTCGATAACTAAAACTATATTTGATGTTTGTAGCGATAAAAATATGCCTAAATCAGCCAAATACCCTATGTGGGTCGGCTGAATCAGTAAAACGTGACAGTAGTTGACTTTTGAGGTTAATATATCGGTCTTGAGTTGGTAAGGTTTTTAAAACATCCGCAGCTTCCTTTAAAGCATCGCTGCTAATTGCTGAGAGGACCAGATTATATTTACCGACATAAGATGTGGTCTTGTACGACTGAAAGCTGGCCTCAATTTGTAGAAACCATTTGTCTGGCATCTCAGTTCAGAACGGTCGCAGCTTGCATTGCGATGTAAGCTCTACATCTTTAGCTGGCATTTTGTTCGATGAAATATTCTCCCCATCCGTCGATGCGCCCTTTTTGTCGATTCCGTCATGTTGGTTTTTGGTTTTGGAAGTTTGACTATAATTATAGGACATTGTGTTTAATAAACTAAATTACCATTTATTGCATAAGTACTACGTTATATATACTACTTTCGCGAATTTAGCTTATCATAATATACCGTTTGTAACTATTTATATGCAAAATTTTATATGAAAAATAGTACCAAA